ACAAGATGAAGTTAAACTTATTCGTACGCATATGAGGGATATAAGCGTTTTGTGGACCATTGATATTGCATATATAAGTATGTTAATATTACATTTTTTTGCTGTTCTATGTGAATTATCAAGCTTACAAGATTTAGAAAAATATATCTAGTGATCCCAGTTACAATTCATAGGCAAAGAATGTTTGGTAAGTTTCTTAATGTCCCGAAAAAAGGACAGGAAAATATACCAAACGTGTCAGTAATCTAATTTTCTTGTAATTACTTCTAAAACGTATCCAAGAGTAAAAATCTTAATGTGAGGGACAAATGATTGAAACTCAGATTCAGGGAGTTATATATCATGTCTTCCCGAAGTAAACACTATTGTAAGTTGCACGTTTTGTAGTAGCAATTCTTCAGCCTGAGAAGGTTGAAGAGAATGGCATGTTTTTGCAAGCATTTCCTGCCAAGTCATGGTACTAATTTACTTGCCTGAAAGTCGCCTTAACTACCGTACTTATGAGACTTCTTGGGTAGTTATTGTCTATGTTGCATGATTTTGTAATTTTGTAAATTTTGTAATTACAATTGGGTGAGTAGATGTGGCTAGATGACTTTTAAAGTGAGTGATTGCTTTATGGCACTTGTATTCATTTGAAACAGATTAAAGATTTTGCTTTATCTTCTTACTTTACAATTTATTAGTTACAACCTTAAAAAACTCAACATTGCTCGGTCATTTATTAATGGCAATCATATATTAAGTAGCTTAACCACGTGGCGCTGTATGGGTTTTGTGTAATATTATTCACATATACGTAACTTTCTTTTCTTGTTTACAAGAAAGAATAATTATCATAAAATTTATAACTTTGATTGATGGTATATTTGAAATAGTTTATATTCAACTGAAGTGTCTCGCTTTGCCTTGGTATTAATTTATTACAATCATATGTTAGACAAGAGAAGAAATTCTATCTATTCTCGTCCTGATTTGCTTTCTGTCTATTTCAGCGTATCTCCGTCCTGCTCTGCCCTATTTTTCACGCGTTGTCATCTCTTGCCATGCCGTGCTCTGCCTTGTCCTACCTTGCTCTATCTTGTCATGCCTACTGCGAATCCCCGGTTTACTTCACTCACTTTCTAAATAATATAATTAACTAATATAAAGTAAAAGTAAATTTAAAATCTTTAAATAGCCTTTTAGAGGAAACTGAATCATGCTAATTTACTACAGCCAAATCAAGACCCCTTTCTTACAGAAAGACAACAAATTGCGTGCATTTTCACTACTTTTTATTAAAATAAAATACGTACTTCCAACTTACTTTTATGAATTCGTTAAATTCATTACCCAATGCATTGTAGAGTAAACAACCAGATACCAGGGATACTATGATTCATTATCAATAATTTACAATATCATTATCCATAATCTACTATTTCATTTGTAGTAATATTCATGGATTAATACTTCTACCACACGTTATACGTCTACTAAATGTGTCAGGTCACTACATACTTACAGTTCTCTGCTCTCGGTTCACGAGTTTCATAGTTTTATTTCATTATGGCCAGACCAACTGCGTATTCTCCAATGAAATTTTGTAATTATTTTGTGAAAAAAGCACATTTTGTGGTACTATTGTCAATTCCAAAAACGTAAATTTTTCGATTTTTAGTTGTCCAAACAGTCGGCAAGCCAACATAAGAAATTAGTTGTTTTGTTATCTCACAGAGGTTGTCAATAGCTGTCAGAATCTAGACTTGGCTAATGTTTAAGGGGCATCTCCTTTGAAAGTAAATTCAATAAATATACGATTTCTGACTTAGCAAATAACTGACTAGAGCAGTTCTATTAATTAGACTCTGGGAAAAACACATTGCCGATATTACGTACTTTAACACATTAGTGACTCCCACCTTCAATATTCTATCAACATTGAGATGGAAGTGGGAAAGCAAGCTGAAAGAAACATGTTTCATTGCTTGGAGTTAATATTTAAGAACCAACATTTAAATTAATAAAATAAATTGTTCCATTTCATACTTAAATTATACGCAACACATCAGGAGTGATGCTTAGAATCAAATAGACTTGACTGCACAAGGAAAATATGAAATGAAATGCTCTTAATTGTATTGATATACTTGTAATTTCATTTTACTTCATATTTTTATAAATATATGTACATTTTAAATGTATTTCTCGTTTACACCCTAGGGGAGTTTAGCTTCGTTTTGTAATTGTCTCTTGCCATCCTCGTCTTATTCCCGGTCCGTGAGCTTGAATGTAAGGGGTGACGTCATCTTGTACACGAAATTCGTTTTGAACTCCCCCTTAAGGGGATACTCAACTCGGAAGTTACGCACAATCTGTAAAAGACAAACAATTCATAAATAAAGTAAAAAAAAACTTTAATAAATGACATACAAGGCCGATCAGATGGCCGAGATCGTTACCGAAATAGTGCCTTAGTGGTCCCGGACCAGCAGATCGCGGGTTCGAGTCCCACCTCGGGGATGTGTGTATTTGTGTTTGAATGTGTGTGTCGTCCTTTCACCTCTTATAACAATCATCATTTCATCTTCCATACCCCAAGGGATAACTACCCTGGGGTGTAGAAATGGACTCAGCAGGAATGCTGATCCCCCCCCCCAAATATTGTTTCACGTGCTTCAGGAAAAAAATTGACTGCGACTTGGTGAGTATAACGGCGCGTTCGCGTGGACTATAGAAAGAAAAATTCGCGACGAAAAGAAATGACATTCAATGAAGTTACATTATGTCTCTACTATATAACGTTAATTGTTGGTGTCATATCCTTTAAATTTGTTTGTCACATATTCAAACGCAAAAATGATATATCTGGATTATAATTTTTCCCCTTTTATACTATTTATATATCAGTATTAATAAATATCTGTAAATTTTTTCTACATAGTGAAGCTTGTGGAGTGTATAGTAAAATGCTTCTGAATGGTAAGTCAGTATTGGATTAGTGAAATCGCTTTCGCATATTGTATTCACAACTGGTTTCATTCGATTGTTTGTTAACATATACAGTGCAATGTTCATCATTCCAGTTTTGTGCGACTTAGGCTGTTGGAATGAAAACATTATGCCACATATGTCTCAATGAAATTTTTCATGAATGGACTGATCATTTACTTTCTGGCTATGCCCTTACCATACAATAAAAACAATTGAGGCATGAAGGGTAAGAGATCGATTTACGAACGTAATTGGTTATGAGCATACTGATTTTGTTAATCAATCGATGTTTTGAGTTTTGTGGGTTGGGTCTCTCTCTATCAGAATGTCTCAATTCTTATTTTTACTACACGCTAATCAATGAAAATTATTCAAAAAAAAGACCTCATGCAAATCTGGATTTCCCGATATGCATTGCCAGTGTCAGACTATTAGTCCGAATAATGATATTTCTGAATTCAAAGGACTAATAATCATTTTTTTTTTGCCTTAGAAGTGGTAGTCAGATGAAATGCACTTGGTTAGTGAACTTTTCGTCTTCAGAAAACTATCCGTTGCAATTTAGAAATGTTGCGTAATATATTTCACTCCCGCATTAGATATGCTAAATCCTTTCCCGACTCTTATCAAAAAATAGATAGAAATATAAAATATGTACACATTTAACATGCCTATGCAGGTGAAAATGAATCTGAACTTCTAACATAGCTTTTATAAACATTTCCTCAAGAACTATACGCATTCTACTTTGCGCATTTACGTATAAATGACTTAACTTTTAAGAAGAAAAATGAACCGGAATATGGCCCCATATCAAAATAAGCATATCAAAAATGCAATTCAGCACCCAAATATCATTCACATATCACCTATCAAAGAAAAACAGCTTTAGTTATTTCCGTTCCCCTGGATGAAATTAAACGTTGATTTTCTTTAAAGGCTTGGGGAAATGTCGAAACATGTATTAATTTCAACTTCTGCGTATGGAACAACAACAATAAAAGGGACATCTGCTTATGAATATGGAACTGGCCAGTTCTTCAAACATCAATTCAATAAATTTCTAGGAAATGCAAAAAAATTAAAATTTTGAAAACTATTCTGTTTGCTTTTGTTTCTATGTACGTATTTAAAATAATAATAAAGTGAAGAGCAAACATGTTTTACATTTCCTCAAGTTCTCTGAATATACAATCGTGTGTCAATTTCTGAAAAATGGGGCGTTTCAGCCACAGCTACACCATCAATATGGTGAACAAAATTCGAATTTCACATTTCATTCCAAATACTTAATAAATCGGGAAAACAAGTTTATAAAATACTCAATTGAAGTAACAAAATTCACGTTTAATAAAATGCAGAATGATATGAGTAATATGGGCTTGAGTTTAAGACTTACGTGAGATGGAGAATATAAGAAATTCAACTGAGCGGTCCTTTTTATGATGTTGCCACATGGATTTTGAAATCAAGAATTACTGACAGAACTTTGGGATGTAGATGATCATCCTAATGCTGAGGAGTTGCTGAACCAATAATGTATGCAGCGATTCCACATAACAACAACATGCTTTCCGTGGAGCAATATTAAAGGTTAAATATTATAACTTGGACTTTTATTCAGAAACCCCAAGACTAGACACTAACTGTTAATCGAAATGGGAAAAGTTGATAAGAAGAAGAAGAAGAAAGGCAAATAAAAAGAATGGGGAAGAGGTCAAGATATGAAATTCGATGAAGGAATCGGAAGACGTGGCAAGGAAGTAGCTTAGGTTGAAGAATGGGATAAAAGAAGAGAAGATGATGGACAAAAAGGCAGATGAAGAGAGGGAATATGAAAAATTTAGAAGAAAAAGAAGGGAAAAAAAGGGCGAAAAGTACCTTTGCGTTGAGCACCTCGATCTCCAGCTCCGCGAAGCGCTTGCCGATGCACATGCGTGTGCCGAAGCCGAAGGGCAGCGTGGCGAAGGGGTGGCCCTTGGACTCGTGGCTCTCGCCCTTCAGCCAGCGCTCGGGCAGGAACCGTTCTGGCTCCGGGACGAACTCCTCTAGCCGGCTGGCCACAGCCGTCACCAGGATCATGTCGGCCTGCAACCCGGGAGACGCGGCTCAGGGCATCAACTGACGAAACGACAGTGCCTCTCACCGAGAGGTCTGAGGGTTCCACTCCTGACGTGGAAGGATTTTCGACGCTAGATAGTCGCTTTCTAGGGGAGAATTCTAATGGGCGCCTGCTCTGATCACTAATTTTCCGTGTTTTTTCTCCCATCAACACTAGACGAATACCTGGGCAGTACTCTAACGGGCCAGGAACCGCGCGCGATCTTTCCTTCCTCTTCCTTGTCCTATTCTCACCCCTGACTTACACACGCATTTACCTGCACTCCATTACCACACATGCCGGGAGACCAATCTGGAGCTTAGAGCTTGACCCGGTCGGGGCGATGCCCCGCTGGTGGGAGACACCTAGTTGAGGGACAACTCCGCTAGCCGTCAGTAGGTCGACTCCGAATCTCCCCATCTTAAGGGGGAAACATCACCACCACTTCTCGAGGACAAAAACACACATTAGATTTACGGGACTAATGACCTTAGCAGTTGACGCGCCCGGAATCACTAATCAATCAACTAATCAAGCATCGGCCTGCAAGAAACGTACCTCTCACGTTTGCACTCTTCGGTTTTCACTATTATCTACGTATCTCATTCAAGCGTCTCTTTCGCTTGAAGTAATTTCAAAAATATTTTCGTATTTGTTAATTAGGTTAGGAGGATAGGAAACAAAACGCCGTTTCCACGCCAGCGGGGATGCGTTCGATGGCGCGTCGCTCGCCCTAAACGGTGCACAAGGAGGAGCCTCTATGTTAATTTCTTACAATGATCAATTCTTACCTATTTCATTCTCACCGTCTTCCTCCCTTCCCTTTCCTTCCGTCCCAATTCAGTACCAATACCATTCTTACCATCTTCCTCGCAATTCCATCTGACCCTATTAGCTCTCTAATTTTAAACATAAAAAATTATATTATTGAAGCATATGAAAGAAAGTGGCTAGATTACCTCAGCAGATCTCGACGCGTCGAATAACACGTGGGACCCAACGATACACTGGAAGAGGTCTAATAATGGCTGACGGGAGAACAAAGCCAGGTTATCCGATTGTAGCATGTACAGAAGTGACTTCTTGGCTGTCCGAGTGACGCCGCGTCGTCGGCTGAGAGGCCGACGTTTCGCCTGTCATATCGCCGACGACGCGGCGTCACTCGGACAGCCAAGAAGTCACTTCTGTACATGCTACAATCGGATACAGTCGGTTCGAAGCCTACGTGTACATGAGAAGACGTGTTTACATTATGAGATTAAAGAATTTGTTTGTAAAATATTTGCCTCTATTGCAGGTTTACATCCGTGTACATGTTACAGTCATACTTTTAATACTTAGTGTGCGTAAAGTATTGAGCGATTCTCTCCAATTTCTATATCATGGAACTTAGGAACATTACAAATACATGCTTTAGCTTAATAACTTGAACGCGCTTGTGCGATAAAATTTTCCTTCACTTTAGGGCAACTCAAGCTTTTGACTCAGAAGAACGAAATTTCAGTATTGCTTATAGTTGATCGGATTATGCTATTAGACGATGATGGAACGGTTGGCGCGAGATCCGAGGCCTGTTGTTTCTGCCCTGGCTTTTGCATGGAATTGATAAGAGGATTCTAGGGAAGCTATCATATACAACCTCTAGAATTCTCTTTCAGGCCATGAATAAACAGACAATATCATTGATAAAAGTTCACTTTTAATATTGAAAGTATTTATAATTTTTTAAAAGAGCTTTTTTATGTAATTGATGGAACGATTTTTAGGTAAAATCGAATTAGATTTACTTTGAAAACTGAAGGCTTCTTTCATTTGCTTAAGATTACACACATATAGTTAATTTAATTCGAAAACGAAAAAAAAGTTGTAGATAAAAGCTTACATACTACGTTCAATGCTTATGAAAGAGAACCATAAATTAAGATGCGCATCTATGCTAAAAAATTAGTGAGGCACTGAGGTATGTAATTAAAAGCGTGAAGTACGTAATTAAAATACTTGTGAACGATATTTAATAAAATATTCCTCTTAGTTGATCACTGAAGATATCATGCGACGAACTTGTTAACTCAATTTGTATAAGTTATAAATGAAGAGGTTTCTGTAAGTTTTCATTAGTAATTCGGTTGATTCATGGAGTTCAGATTATTGATTTTGAAAAGAACATGTCTGCACATGTGTATAAAAACAACAATTATCCACCAGAATTATCAAATGGTATAGAAATTTTCTCAAAACGAGCAAAGTATGAGTTAACATGTTCTTATCATTACGTCTTCAGCTTTCTTTGACATTTACTACAATTTTTTTCATTGCATTACACAATGGTTCGCAAGCAGTCATACTTACCCCTTTAGGTATCTTGTAGTTTCCGAGAACCAGATCATCTCTGGTATTTTCTCTTATTTGACCAATGACTACTGGTTTTAACCTACAAAAATTAAATACTCGTCTATTACCATTGAAAATATATAGAAAATACCGTACTATTATTAGTTATTCATAAAATTCGTTGTAACGAATCAAACTTTTAATGGAAAAGTTGCATTAACTATCTTTAATCTATGTATTATTATACAGTTCGCCCATGTTAAGTAGTTCATTTGAACTCTCATATGGGTAAGAGAGATTTGAATTCATAAAAGTTTTCATCCTTTTACTTTTGTGACTCTCAAGAATGTCTTTTAAATTATTTCAGGCACATACAATATTTAATAATATACTGTCCTTCATTTTACATTACTTTATAATGTGGGCGGAAATGAATCGAATGCTAATCTCTGGTTAGGACGTTTCAAAACCTCTTGTAGTTTTTATTACTGTATCGTTACCTCATGGATTCCTTAATGCAAGCGCGTAAGTACTTCATTTTCTGCAGAGCTTCAGGCGTGACCGGCGTGTCAGGTCGAGGCAGTATGTCCCGCAACTCTTCGAACAACTTTTCTTGCTTGTCAGGATTTTTAGCCAAGTAGTAAAGGAGAATCGCAGATGAATACGATGTCTAAAACAAAAATTACGCCCAACAAATTTAGTCTTCTTGAATAATTTCCATGGTTGTGATTAATGTAAACATAGTTGATGTTTCTCTATAAACTTTCATTTGTTTCATATTTTCATTTCTGGTTGAAGGACTCAAAGTATCAACTGATGACAGCAGTACCTTCGACAGAGAGGTCCTAGTTTCGTGTCCCGACGGTGACAGTATTTTCAACACTAGCTTGTCAACTAAGTCGAATTCAGTCGTTGCCTGGAGGAGAATTCTAGCGTTTGGCTCCTCTGATCGGTAGTTTTCCGTGTTTTCTTGTATCTACACCAGGCGAATGCCGGAGCAGTACCCTAACAAACGGGCTATGGACCGATCGCGATCTTTCCTTTCTCTACCTTGTCCTATCCTCACCTTGAAAATTTGCGTTGGCGGGACTGAAGAATGATTTATATTAGTCGTGGAGAGCGAAGGCGGGAGTCTGGCCAGTGATGTGTAAATGCCCAGTCGATCCGAATTTAATGAGACGTGTCAAAAACCGATATTTTGGTAAGCTAAATTAATATATTTTATTATTTACAACTCTTGAAGGAATCTAAATCTGCAGTTTAACCCATTCTACATATTACTTTACAATATTCTTTACCTGTTTACAAAAAGGAAGGAAGAACACCTACAACCTGTATCAAGTTCATAATTTCCCACCGACACACTCGATTAAAGGAGAATCGCAGATGAATACGTTGTCTAAAACAAAAATTACGCCCAACAAATGTAGTCTTCTTTAATAATTTTCATGGTTGTGATTTATGTAAACAGATTTGATGTTTCTCTATGAACTTTCATTGTTTCACTATGCAATGCCAGTAGTTTCGATATGCAATGTATCTATGTCCATTCCTTTGGACATGACGCCATCGTGATGGGAGGGTATTCACCGTGTCTATTCCCCCGAACATCATGTCGGTGGCCATGGTGGTGGCGATGCGTGGGTTGTCGTTGGCGAGCAGCAGCCTCTCGAGGACACTAAGGTCGTCCCCGAGCTCCTGCCCCGCAGCCACCTTGGCCCTCATGCGCTCCACGGCCAGGTCGATGCTCTTCTGGGCGATCCTGCGGCACGACACGGCCTCCTCGTCAGCCAAACTGGCAGGGCCCCAGCAGCCCCAGCGACAGTCATCAGCGCACTTCTGTCGTGTCTAGCATACTTATTGATTTACTTACATATTTATTTTTATTTATCTGTGTATGATCATTTCACTGCACTTGCTCCCGAATTCACGTGTTCTGTTACAGATTGAAAGTCGGAATACTTTTCTGGTGAATCAATTTGAGGGGTCAGATTTTTCAATCTCGTGGACGTAAGGCGCCCTCTTTGTTTTTCTTAAAATATGCTTCATTTTATGGTTTTATGTACTTAGTGTATATATTTAATTACATCAAAAGCCTAAAATATACAAGTATCAAAATTAGTAATAAGAAATAAATGGAGAATTACTTTAAATATTAAAATGCGCATATTCAATTACCTTTAAAGTGCATGCAATATAATATGTTCGTTCAATTGTCCAGTATAAATGTTGCGTCGAAATGTGTCTGTCCGTTTAATTTTACAAAACTCCAATAATTTTAAGGCATTCGATTTTTCTCATCCAATATATCAAAGTGAATTTATAGAGAAATGAAATAAAGTTTCTTTCTTAATGATTTCGTACAAATTTCGTATTCTGATCTTTTTATTTGATCGCCAAATTAAAAATGATAATAATCAAATTTGTGAACCTTGTAGTAAAAATAATATTTATTCAAGGGGTGGGATCCTTTATTCAATTTAAACTAGGTATTTGTTATTACTAATTTCTTTTATTACAAATTCTGTTATTATTTTAAAACTGTCCATTCAAAATCTCTGTTCATAAGCATGGGTGTCTGTTTTCAGATGACGCGTTAAATTTCTCCCTGTTGTGTTAAGTAGTTTTATTTTAAGTTCTTTATTACAGACACCTTTAGGGTGCATGGTAGATTATGAGAATAACTAGCATTCGTTATATACGTTCCAATCTCTTAAATGGGTACAAGGTGAACACAACAATAATTAACCTGAAAGTAAGTATAAGAGAGACTGAAAATGCATGGGATAGTAATATTATGAGTATGCTTCATAACTGGCGAGTAGACATTATGATACCTCCACAAGTCTTCATTTTCCTCAGGAGGACCGATAATTAATGTTTTTCAACACTCATTGTTATTTCTCTAACCGCTTCTCCTGTCTTGGTGTCCAGTGGTTGCCATCACATTTTACATTTATTGGCAAATCGTATAATTGAATTCATAAGACTCCGACGTAACTTGAACGCTCTTATTATCTCTCTCATGCACTACGTTATCGTAAAAAAATCAATACCAAATTACTTAGCATAAACTAAAACTGAATTGTATTGATGCCTTATTTTACGTGGCGAGACTCGGGCCATCAGGCCCACCCTTCCGTCTGACCTCGCAAATTTCACTATGATCCTTTCACCCACTAGTGAAGAAAGGAGGTATTTCTTGGGCGACGAAAAAAGCGATTTGAATTTAGCTCAGAGGCGTCAATTAGGCTTGAGGATCTTTTACATGCAAGTTAATCTACTAAAATTGGACAGTCGACTTCACTTTCCCTCTGAAAGAAGGCGTACGGAGGATTTTTTTCGGCCCTAAAAATCCATGGCTTCGATCGGGTTTGAGCCCGCCAACTTGTGAATAACAGTCCGATAAGATAACCGTTGCACCACCGCCGCCGCCTCTTAATTCGTCAAACGCGCACATTTCCTCCAATGAATTTCACTTGTCAGAATCCATAATGCTAATGATGATTTATTTTGAGGACCTCCTTTGCAACGGCTAAACATAAATGGTCAAATGCTCAGATTTTATCGCAATCGCAGTCTGAAAATGATGTGTTAAAAGGGAGGGATACCTGTGCGAACATAAATTTTCGGAAATGCCTCGTTTATCGATAGTTTCGGCGACGGCATCGTTCACTTGCGGTGGAGGGATAAGATAAGCGAGTATCTCTGTAATCACTTCTGAATACAAGGGGCCGCCAACGGCTTGTGTGGCATAAATATCTTAGGCTTGAACATTGACGGTAGAGTACGAAAAAAATGAAAAACATTTATTTTTACTTTCTCGCTTCCGCTTCCGCAGTAGAAAGAAAGTTGTGTAATGCTGCGCAAAGAACGGCAAATTATCGACAGAAAAACGTTTACTTACAGGTCCGGAGTGACGAAAAAGTGAATAAATCCAGTTGCTAAATTTAGAAAAAAATCCTTTAACACGTCATGTAGCCAGCATTTATTGTGGGTTTCCGATACATAAATCCCGATAGAAAAATCGAATGACGGCAAAATGCCTGCCTTCCTTTCCTCTGTGAAAAACGCAAGAGGCTGAACACACCAGCAAATTTTCTCCGATCGATCTTGCTGATGTCGCGGCCCATTGAACTTGAAACCGATATTTCATTTTCCAGAGTACTTTACACGAACCCCTAGGATATTTTCCAAATTTCCAAAAATATGGCTTCATCGTTTTTTATTACATTTTGTTTTTGAATAGTGTGAAGTACGTTTAAGAGGATGGTGCAGTCCTCATATTCTTTTGAAAACCTCATTTTTCAAAAATTTCAAAATTCCAAACTTTTTCGGTGTCTTTCTACAACTACAGTTACAAAGAGATTTTTCCCTTAATGGAGTTTGTTCCTTAAAGATAGATTTTGAAATAAGATCAAGAGAATTTTTCGAAAATTTCAGTACTTTTCGCGTAATGTTGCGTGAAAGTACGGGAGAGAAAGTTCGTGATGTTTTAGCACCACTAGTTGTAATTACTTGAATGTTCGCGGTAAACAATAATTTACGAAATTTCAACAGAAATAATAATTTTGTTATAATATTTTCCATAATATTTGCAATTTGCAGTTCTACATTGTATAGTATTGAACATTTAACATTACGTAGCATTGAACTCATTTTTAGTTACATAGTTGCAACAAATAATATGTAACAAATTGTGGTTTCAAATTAAAATGGCAGTTGTTTTTTTCTCTTTTATTATATAATGCGCCTGGAAAGTCTGTCTGCACGGAGTCGAATCAGAGCATCTTATTAAAAATTACATTTATTTTGGTAGCAACCAGATTACTTGAATACAAATGAAGGGGACAGCACTTCCAACATCAGTAATGATTATGATAATTACGCAATTTACGTTTTCAAGCTGCAGGTCGTGCTACTAACATAATTTCAGTTGCAAGCCCTTTCACCAACAAGGTGCTACTGCGGAGAGATTTTCCTGGATTACTATAGTATTTCACCTTATTCATGAAATCGCGACGTTCATCAAAGTTTATCAAGCTCTTAAAACAAAATTCACCTTGTAGATTTTCATTAATGCAATTACACATAGTACATGCACTTCACATAACTAATTGTTCTTACAATTAATTTAAGCATTTGATTCTTACGTAATTACGTTATCAGTTACTCTATGAATTTCTGTTCCAATATTTTAATAGTAGGTTATTTCCCATTTATTACACAATCTCACCGAATTCCCCAAATGAAAATAAAATTCATCTAAAACTTTGCAGCGAGATAGTAATCAAATTTTCATCTTCGGTCACACTTGACTTTTTCTAACTCATTCCTTTGAAGTTTTTTTTAAATTTCTACATCAATAAAAATAATACTACATACTGTATGCCATATATTTACATCTGCTTCAATCTTTGATTAGTGCTTTGAAATTTTTTATCCTACAGAATATATATTATGCATGAAATGAAAATACAAAATAATATTTCACTTTCTTTTGTGGTTGCGACTCCTGTATGCACCTTCAATACACGGATCCACTGCTCACATGAAATATACGTTTCTGAAATATACATACAGCAACCAATTGGGGTGGAAATATTTTGAAAATATTCCATTGAAGTCCGTGAGACTGAAAAATAAATATTTTTGCTCCATCTGTGTTGTAAGGTATTATGTACGATGATGTTTTGGATTGTTTGGGTGTTTTTGCCACCTACCTTTGCTTACTAGTGTTTAAAAGCCTCTACATTTACGTAAATAATTATATTATATTGTTTTGAAATGTAAGATATTTCTGCACTAATTTAGAAACAGTTATTTTACTTAGAAACAGTTAATTCAATATTTTAATTTTTTTGCCTCATTAAACTTTTCTTTGGGAAAAAATAATAAAGTAACAAAATATTAAATCATTGAAAATTTTGAACAATTATTTATTTTTAACTCCTTTTCCTTCTGTACTGATTAAAGAGCGTTTTGTGGATAGCATTGAAAGACTAATTTGTACCATCAGAGTCGTCATCGTTCTTAGCTACTTTTTCGCGACAAAAGAGAGCCTGGAGCGGACGCTGGTGTTGCAAGCTCTGAGCTTCATGCCAGACGGATGAAGTTATGAGCTCTCGACATGTGTAGTGTGGTGCATGTATATACGTGTTAAAATGTTCTGACATTTCTCTGACCTGCAAGTATTAAGATAAATGCTGGGAAAATGTCACAATACCATTTTGTTACAAAAATGTTTGTTCCGTTGGCTATTTTTGCACTTTCAGAGAGCGGTTGCAAATTTGCTTTCTTCGCCATCTTTCACGTACGTATTATCTTCCTTCACTCGAACAATAAACAAATTTAAAAAAACACCTGGCGTCCGCTGGCATGAAATCCTTTCTATAACACATAAATCTTTAGATTTGAAGAGCCGGGTGAAGGACTGCTTCTCCATTCCCGCATGGCTCATCCTCAAGGTTTATAAAAACCAGATGAGACAGTGTTTCTAGCACTAGGGTGTTAAATTAGGGCCCGAACAGGAGAGATTTATGCAGAAGAAGGTGAGCGTAAAAAAAAGATGAGTGTGCGAAAGAGTATTAAAAAATCAAAACATTTAAATCAGAAAGACAAGAATAATCAAGAAGGGAAAGGGGAGAAAAATAAACAAGAGAAGAAGATCTAAGATAACAATAGATGTTGAAAGAGACGATGAACAAGTGGGGAAGGAGGAAAACCAAATGGGGAAAGAGAAAAACGAAGAGGCAGGAAGAGGTGAAAATTACAAGTATATAAAGGAAAAACAGAGGAGGAAGGGAATACGGCAATGCAGAAAAAGGAGAAAAATTTTGAGGAGTAAGAGAAAAAGCAGAAAGAGTAGCAAAGCAGTGGAAGGACAAAAAAATATTCAGTAGGAGAAGGATAAAGAGCATAAGGAAAAGACGAAGAAAAAGTAGAGAGAAGAGAAGAACAAAAAGCAGAGGGAGGATGAGAAAATATAGGGGGGAAAGAAGGAAAGAGTCGGAAGTCGGAAAAGGAGACACAGCTGAAGGAGAAAAAGGAAAAGTCAGAAATGGAAAGAGAATAAGCAGAAGAAGGGGAAGGTGAAAAATCATTCAGAGGAGGAGAAAATCATAAGGAAGAGATGTTAAAAAAGGATAAGAAATTCCTGGAGTAGGTGTAGAAATTGAATAAGTGCAAAGCAAGTGCCAGAAAGAGGTCGAAGAATACTCACTGTTCGAAGATGTCGACGGCCTTGACGAAGCGCCGCCAGGCGGGTGTGGTGACGTAGCGCCAGGGTGAGGGCTTCACGTCCAACTCGAAGAAGCTGTCCATGAGAACGTGTACTGCCTCGATCAGACGCTGCGCCTCCGAGTCGGCTGCCAGGCGCGCCTCCAAGCAGCCCATGCGCGCGTCCAGCGCGATCAGTGCGATCGCTGCAATGCACGACACGCCAGCTCAGTGGCGCTTTCGAATGCCCTAGTGTGAAGGCGACCAGTGCGATCGCTGCAGTGCATGGCACGCCAGCTCAGTGGCGCTTCCGAATGCCCTAGTGTGAAGGCGACCAGTGCGATCGCTGCGGTGCATGGCACGCCAGCTCAGTAGTGCTTCCGAATGCCCTAGTGTGAAGCAGCACCACCAGCGCGTCTGCGCTTCCGAATACTCTAGTGTGAAGGCTTATAGCGCGATGGCTGCAACGCACGGCACGCCAGCTCAGTGGCGCTTCCGAATGCGCTAGTGAGAAGTCTGCCATTTGCAACCGTGTTCTGCTGGGTAAAGCGCAGATGCGCTGCTGGTGGCTGGAGTGCGCCTCTAACCACCGGAGCAAAGCCGCTGCACCGCTCTTGTGAATGCCACCACTTAAGCAATTTATTTAGTCAGCAGTCTAAAAGGCTGCTGAGTAGCTCTTAAGACTCGAAGTACAATCTCCCTTTTGATGAATGATTTCCTAGATTTGCTCTATCGCTTCAGAAGTCACGCTCCCCGAGCACATGTTTGCTAAAATGCCGAAATCGTTCATCAAAAGGAATCTTGTATAGGTTTTATAGTTGTATGTACCCTGCCGGGATAGTAATTGTCCCTATTAAATGTTTCAATCTTCGTTTTACTCGTCACGTAATATCCTTGGAGTTAAAAGGACATGGGAGAAAGGGTGTAAAAATGCATGATGATGTTTATTTTTATGTTGGTGTTCCATACTGGTTGTTGAACGTATGCGGTAAATACGAGTGGCACCTACATGTCCTCGAATTTTCAGATAACTGAAAGAGTTCTGGCTTACCGTTACTTTCCACTGCATGAAAGATGACAGGGGTTTTGACGTGGAGGTAATCTTGATGAGTGACGAGTGGTTAAAATTATATGTGATGAAAATTCTCTGATAAGCTACTCATACTTAGTTTGTAAATAATGTATCTGCACATTCAGAAGTTACCATTGCTTTAGTTACGAAAAGGTTTTTAAGCTGTAATTAATTTCAAAACTCACATTCAAAGGACCATCTGAAAAACCATTTGATAGAATCTCCTGGTAGCATGTAATTGTTGTCACGTATTTCACGAAATCTGTAACAAAAGTTTAAACGCACTGTTCAAAGAAAATACAAAAAATAGTTTATTATACTGTTCATGAGAAATAAATTAACTATAGACATCAATTTATTGTAACGAAAGAGCATTGTTTGTTTGAGATATAGTTCGAAGAAATTCAAACAATTCCAAAACCTAACTTGTCAAACAATTAGTGTTATATTGGTAATGTTTGAAATTTTAAAATAACATACCGTTTTCTCTAAATGTTTACAGGGAAATCGAGGATAAAACCAATACAAATTTAATTTCAAAATAATTCAGTAAATAATTATGTTTTGTGAACGATTAATCTTATTTCTACTTTTATACAATACTTTTATACCATATTGTTCACAATTCTTGCTAAATCGTTCTTCACGGTATTATGTCACAAAGCAGAAAATTAATGAAAAACCACTGGAAGGCTTACATCCGCCGACTTGGCTAGAGAACGGTAAGGTAGACGACCTTATCAGACACTGTTCGGAGAATCGCATGATAGAATCCCGCTTCAGGTGGGTACAGGATTGCTTATACTCCTATCCATTGTGTAATATTATTCTACTCTCTTCCTCTCATTCCCGGGCGGCAGGAGCGTGGTGCACTTTCCACCAAAGAAAACAGGGCTGCGGGTTCGAATTCCGCGTAAGGGATAGACGTATTGTGTTGTGGCGCTGTGTGCATTACCAGCTCATATTACCTACGTACCTCTAACCCCCTATTAAGTTCACCCCCCTCCCCGCCCCAAGACAAGATACGTCTTTGATGCCAAAGTTTGTCAGAAGGTGGTAGTAAGCTCTTAGTTGCTCGAGCGTGCCCGGGTCACCCAACTGTTGAACACCTACCTGCCGATCATGGGGCAGGATTGGGGATGAGGGTTCGGCCGCAATCCCATATTAAGAAAACCTCCTGCAAACCCCACGTCACTCGTTTGGTTGCCTCGGTTTTCGATGGAACCCGTGCCTTTACCACTACGTGCCCAGTGAACGGCGTGTTGGAGGCTCGGAGGTACCTGTTCCTCGGCGTACCAGTTCCTAAAATTCATTTATATTGAATAGAGATTTCTCCTAGCGCATTGTGAGTGTCGCTTATTCAAACTCCTGTGCTATTAGGGAAGACTAGATGCCTTGAGCTGCAGGGTGACTCTGCCGAGACTTAATTGGGGAGAAGTTCCTCTCGGGTGCTGGGAGCCAGCGTACGTGGCTGTCAACCTGAAGGACATTGCTATGCCACCCAAGGGCGTATTAGGTCCAAGGTGACGCTATGAGAGAGTCACATCGCTCCTAACACTCGTACACGGGAAGCTCTGCCGCCGATAACCGCAAAGATTACACATTCTATTGTACCCACAGTAACCGTTGTGAGATTAAAACACATCGACACGATGGATGAGGAGACTGTCAGTACCCTCAGTGGCTCTATAGAGGGAGCGTCCGTACGCTCTGAAGTGCGTGAAGGAGTAAAGCAGAAAGACATAGAATGAAGGCTTAAAAACCGCAATTACTCACCGTTGAATTAACTCGCCGGACACCTGGTCAATAGGAGCAGTGTACTTTGCGACTGTTTTCGGTTGCAGCATGTGCGGCTGCACTCGCCGACGGAAGTCTTGCCATTCCTTCTCGTTGCTGCAACATGGAGAGTTAACAGTGAGCGCTGCGGAATCGTTCTATTTAGTGGTTCAGTGAGACCGAAACGCTTTTCCCAAAGATATCTTTTCTCAAAATATCATACGATGGCAGGGGTGATCACAAGCAGGTATCTACAATGAGAGACGACTGGTCATGATTGGGTGGTGATGGGTAAAGCCGCGGTAAAACACCGTTGTCTTACGAAAGAATTAACACCTCTCCCCGTACTGGAAGACAATGCTCCAAGTCCTTGTGTCACACTGGCCTTAACGTAAATGTAACAAAATAAGTAATCTTGACATCGCGACAGTCACTCATTACGAATTATTCGTAAATAATATTTCACTCCCAAAGTTTATTCTTCAACCACTCAGATTTAATTCATTTTCAAACCAAATATTTCCATACTTACGTAGATAAAAGCCCGTATGCATCTTGAAATTTCTCTTTGTACATCTTCCGTCGATAGTAATCCAAAGATTCAAAACCATTTCGTTTAGGCCAGGGACCTTCATGCCTATAAACCTGCAAAAATACATATTTGATTTAAATCGAATCGTGTTAAGGTACTATTGAGGGTGAAAAACAAGAGCAGGGTCAACTTCTTTGAAAATTAAATGAGGTATACCAGAATTCAATTAGTCATGAAGTAAAAACGATTTATCATTCTCGTATTTATGATAATAATTATTAAAATGTAATGTTGGTTTTCTTATATTTCTAATTCTCAAGCATTTATGTCAATTTGAATGCCAATTTCTTTTTAAAACGGTACACACATTCATAATGATTAAAGTGAATAATATTTACGTCCATAACAATAACCTCTTATCTGATGTATTTCTTAACATTTACTTTGAATGTATTCATTCGTTGCCATACCTTTTCTATTTCGGCTGGATCAAATATGCTTACAAATTCCTTGTTCTCATTCAGCTTGCCTAAACTAACGATTTTGCCGTACTTTCTGTAGAGATCCCACTGTATCTCCAAGAAATCCATAGAACCCCATTCTCCTGAAGACAAATGCATTTTTACTTCTTCACATATGAGGTAATTCACTATATGTTTGTCAAATTCCCCAAAGCAAAATCGCTTAGCTTACCTCCTGGCTAAGGAAAGAATGATAATTCTGACAAGTGTTTTGATAGATGATATGTAGTGCTCTGTATCGGTTAGCTTTAAAGGTCATGTTTCATTCAGATTCTTTACTGAAGTATCAAAATTATAAAATTTTGAAATTTCGCTGGAAATTACATCGTCCAGCAAATTTTTACTTTATCGTATATTGTGTGTACGTGGTAGAGATAAATATATGTATTACAAACGTGTATGGCAAAGTTTTCATTAAGATTCAGAATTTGGGGATACCCGATACCGACAAATTGTTCTTACACATTGTTTAGACAACAACACTGGAGTACCGAGCGATACTCCCGTACTCTGCCAATTTTTGGGAGGTTTTAAGGCGAATTGGCACATGCTAGATTCGCAGAGTGGTGAGTGACAGTATCTCGCAGTATCCGGAATAGTATGGATGTTGTTCTGGATTACTGTTTCCCGAGCGCGAAACATTCGACGTTTGCCTTACGGCAGCGCGTGGCCGTTTTGGACGCATAAAGGAAAGCGAACATTCACAGAGCTCTCGGCTACTTGAAAGTGACGAGCAGTCGATCGATACTCGCAGAACACTGATGTGTGTTGTGCCTTTGTGTCAAATTAATCCTAGAATACTAGTGATGAGTACAATTTACCCTGTCGTTAAAGTTTTTATAAATACCAGCCAAGTTGTGGTGTGCCGACTTACCAATTCCTAGCATTCTTTAACCGTTAGCAAGAGCTAAATCCAGTATTTTTGTTGCATTTGTTTTCGGTAAAGTAACTGAATGTTTTTGATCTGTGAGGAAAATATATTCGCCAGTGCACTGAGTAATAATGAGTAATGAGTCGCTCAGCAGTCTCCGGCATCTGGTCTCCTAACGAAGTTGTTAAATGTTGCTGTAAATTTTGCACCAGTGCTTAATTAGTATTTTTGAAGACTTCTTATTAAATATTTTAGCAATATTTTAATTAATAATCGTCTAACTGATAACATTTACGTTTTAAAAATTGCTCACGGTTGAATTAATTTAACGCATCACTAATAACAATAAATAATTGTACAGTATAACGGAGATCCACAATATTTCTGCGGCAAACCACAGACTTTATTTCACGAGAGACGTTTCCACAGTAGTATCCTTAAGTCCGCACTCCGGGACGTACCTACGAGTGGCAGGAAGCGCCAGATGTTGCCGATGACCGGAAGGCCCGGGGGTCCGGGCATCTCCTCGAAGGGGCGGGCATCCTGGCTGGCGGCGCCCGAAGCACGCCGCCCCGCTCCCGCCCCCGCCCGCAGCCAAGCCCCCGGCTGAGCGCGGCGCCCCAGCGACCGCCACAACGCTCCAGCCACGCCCATCGCAGCAGCCGCCCCTGCGCAAACGCCACGGAGACTTGATACTTGCCGTCGCCTAAGACGCGTCTCCCGGACAGACAATTAGCCTACGACACCGCCTGCGGAAGCCTACGCTCTTTCAAGAAAAAGTTGGCGCCGCGCGTGAGGTTGCCACGTAACACCCTGGAAGTCACCTGAGGACCTTCACGTTGTAACGTATTCAATTAGGCTTTAGATATGAAGTGTTTCCTCCATAAATGGTGCACGTCTGTAGGAATATCTATCCCTAGCATTCGTGTTCACGTCAGAACCTTTGGTAGATATTCACGTCCCCAACCATCAGTATTCATGATTATTCTTTGGCACCCTGAGAGACTCGCCTTTTTCTCCGCATTACTGAGGTCCACAGACCTATTGCGGCTAGTGTTTTCACAGCCACCCACGAGGGTGGACCCTGAGTAGAGTTGAGGAGCAAAGGTGGCGAATAGGTGACGGTGGCGCGCTCTTCGGGGTCCGTGAGCTCATTAACAGCGCTTCCCTCCCTCTGACCGCAGACGGACCAAGAACTCCTTACAAACATCGCACTTACTTTATTATTACTTTCTAACCTACGAACCTGAAACATTAGGAAAGTAAGTACGATGGTGTACAGAAAATTTATTTCACAATTGGACGTCTGTTGCCTGGTAGCAAATTAAATAAATTTTACCACATTGCAGCAGTGGAAAGTGGCGTCAATACTGTAAAAAAAGCAGAAAAAAACAGGTTTTTGGGCGTTCTATATGAAATTGATCAGTTTTATCAATTTCTCAAGGTTCTTTCTACGATAGTGTATCAATCAGTCGAAACCTTGATAACATGGCCGTCGTTAAACTGAAATTTTTGTGATAACTTAATATTATAAAGTGTAGTTTTTATTTAATAAAAAAACTAAGTGAAATTGGATTGTAATGATGGGAGTCTGGGAAAATTGTTTAAAGAATAATATACTAAAATTTTTATTTTGATTTGGTGCTATAATTATTTTGGTTGGAAGAAAACATAAAAGTACAGGAAATTAATGCAAAAATATATAAAAACGTTTATGTATTTAGAGTAAACTAGAAATACAAACATTATGCACTTCTTGTATCATTGTTTTAAAGAATATCTTCACATTGGAACCAAAATTTGCAGGGTTTTCATAGCCCGTACTGTTTGGAGTAACTCTCCAAGCTATTGGGGGTGGAGGGAACACTACTGCGTGTGGTCCTGTAAATGCGACTGGCCTTGCCACCTGGCGGTCGAAACTGTAGTGCACTCTCGTTTTGCAAATGACCTCCCAAGTCTACACAAATGATTCCAATATTTATTTAGGCGCACGAACATACAGGTTGCGGCAAAATTGGAAATGATTATAACAAAATGATGACACTTTCTACACGTGTCTATGCTTCTTAGGTCAAGTAATAAAGGAATTAATAATTGTTCATATTAACAGGAAGACAGTGGTTTTCATTTTCGCTTATAATTACTCATATGTATATAAAAACTGGTACATCACTAACTTAGCTAATATTAGATTACAAAGTAAATTATATTCGGGTTCTTCGTGTGGAAAATCGTTTAATCATTTAATAAATTTATTGAGTTGTTTTTATTAGAGAATGACATCTACTCTTGCAGGGACCCTTGCAGTGGCTTAGAGACACCATTGATACGAATAGAAAGGCATAGAGGATACGTGTAACTACGTGGTTCAGCTTCAAATGCTCAAAATGTATTATTCTTTATAAGGGTCACTCACGAGTATTTCAAAACACGCGCAGGAACAAGATGATCTGTAAGTTTGATTCAGTAACTTTGATTCACTTCGATTCAGTTAGAATATCTGTTAAAATTTATTTTTTTAATTTAAAAAGTTGTTTTGCTTTATTCCATCGTTAACAAAACTAGGATTTATATACATTCATATTCATGTTTTGATTTTCAACACTTTTTATGTAGGATCACTGATAAGTTAATCCATCATTTGAGAATGAATTCAGAAATGCATTCTCAAATGAAGTCAGTGAGTGCTAATGGGTTAATATCGTCTCTTTACTGAAATGTACCTAATGAATTGCTCCATTTATGTCATACATTACTATATATTTTCTGAAAAAAATATTCAAAATTGTAAACATTTTTATTTTTGTCAATGAATGCATTGTTACCGTGTTCAATTCACAGTGCGCAAAATTCCGAGGAACGACGTAATGTAAGTCTACAGTTCTTAGTCTACGCCATAAATTTCACAAGAGCAATTCAATGAAGAAACATACGTATCGAAAGGAAATAAAAATATCGGTCTTACAGCAGTAAATCGATGACTTAATAATTTGTAATATTTTTATTCAACTACTTACCTATCCAGCAGTAGAAATCACTACAGGAACCACATTCACATAAATCACGTTCGGATACCCGGAGCGGTTATGAGCGTCTCGTGATAGCTTATCTGCCGGCCGGCGTGGGGACCCGCACCCAGCTGTGAAGGCGTGGAAAACTTGTGGAGGCGTGGTGTCCTTGGATCTTGCGGTGCAGTGAGGAGGGGACAGGAAAACGTAGTGGAGAATACAACGCAAAACTGTAACATCTCGTGGTAGAAGCAAAATAACTGCATCAGGATTAATAGCAACCATAGAATAATGATGTAGCTAGCGCGAGTTATTTTGGGATTCTGGATCCTCCCAATACACATCATACGATCTTAATACTTTAGATTAGAAAGTCTGTGTTCAACTGAGGAGCCATAGACCAAGAGCATTATAGTTACGAAGCAGAATATAATATCTGCAAACCTAACAAATTTCTCACAATTTAATTTAATATTATTGAAAAATTACTCCAAAATGTGTGATACTTTCATAAATATACCAGAATTATTTAAAGATCTCATTCTGAAGAATACATTGTATGATAAATGAAATATGTAGCTTTTATGTACAAAATATACGTGACATAATTTTCAATAGCATATTTCAATAAAAATATCTGTCTTCAGAAATGCACGCGTAGATGATGAGAAATGTTAAAGTGGAAACTTTTATTTTGTACTACACATAAATAAATGACATTGAGAAACGAATAGTATGTACAATATTTACCATTGTCTTAATATGTTATATTTATTTATATATTAATGCTATTATATATCAATAGAATGATATAATAGTTTTAACAACCAAATGTAATATTTTCTTACAACATCATAATATATCGTTTTTGCAAAATTCTTTATGTGAAATTTGGCGCAATTACTCACTGAAAATTGTCTTGATTTTTTCATTGCAATGGATATTAAAAGTATAGTTTTGAAACAAAACGTTTTCTTTTTACAGGTAAGCAGCTTTCGCGTTTGTTTGGCGAGCCGGCTGGTGGTAAGTACAATTCATTTGACGCGGATGCTGTCAAAATTTGACGTATCGCTACTATCGACTTTACTTTTTTGAAGGAATATATATTTTCAGAGGCATCAAGTTCTTACTGTCTATTCTGGGAAGCGTTTTTATTGAAATTATGTAAACATTTCACTTTCACTCGAATTGCATTCGCTTCCATCAAATACACGACGTGTGTAACTCAACGCATGCGTGTCATTTCATCGAATACGAGAGAAAGATAAAAACGAACCCAATTTGATCTTCACTCGACTACTAACTTTCCGCGAATTTTCTCTCTGTACCCCCGAACAAGTGGAACCTCGCGTGGTTTTAATTAACGACGCCATCCTTTCTGGGACCGACTCATCAATATTATCTTTTAGCGACAGCACCACAAATAAAAGGTGTCAAGAGATCGCGATTTGTACGTGTTCCAGATTCTAAAGCAGTCTGATAGGGATGAGCGACCGAATCCACAGTGGAAAAGAAAGAAATGAAACGAGGATTAGAAAGCGTTTTGAAGCGCCCATGATTTATACCAGCACCTCGCCCCCATATAAGCACGCGAGCATCCAACAGGCCACAATAGAGCCCGGTGGCATTATTCAGAACACGTTGCATGGAATTTGGGGGTGGAGAAGTAATATGTTCTGTGCCTCCCCCTCCAGCCTGAGATCCTGCTTCTTCTTCTTCTTCTTCTTCTTCTTCTTCTTCTTCTTCTTCTTCTTCTTTTTTCCATGAATAAAATGATGGGCGCGTCATTTTGTAAAATTCCTAAGAAAACACGTGGCGTGAACGTCTGGTATAAAATATTTCTGACCGTATTTCAGGACGCAGGACGAGTATTTGCATACAGAAGGAAGCCTGCTCTACGCAAACAAATCGGAGCTGCTGTTGGTTGAGAGTTCTGCCGCTAGATGCCGCGCTCGAACTTGTCAGTGTGATGTTTGCACTGTGAAGGATGATTGTCGCATTTCGAAACAAACAGTAGAAATTTGTAGGGATCACAAGAGCAGACGACTTTGTTAGAGATGTTAGTAGTCAGGATTGAAAATGAAGGTATGTTTTATGTCATAATTCCATTGAATTGGTGACGTTTGATGTAGAGTTGTGTCAGTCTTTGACATTTTCACTATTCTAATTACATCAGTTCGACATGAAAGGAAAAAATATATAAGTTCATAATTATATCAAAATTGAGTACAATATAATATATTATTCATCTTTCTATGAAGTTTTGTTCCTTTGTGCTTCTCTGTCAAATTTTATGTTTATTATTTGTTAAAATAAAATTAATTCTATAGAGGTAACACAGTATTGGCCTTTGAATGACATATAAAGAACTAATATAACTTTTAAAACAAATAGATGGATACTATCTATACTCATTGTTCCAATAATCTAATTTGGAGACTTTTAATTAATTCTTTCTTTTTACGTTATCTACAAATGTGTCTGCTTTAGACTTCAATATTTCATAACAGAGGCTACGCAATAAAATTGTCTGTGAATGGGTCAATGGATGGAACAAGTAATTTGACGATTTAGTACATTTTAGCGCAGACTGATTAATAACGAG